GCACTCAGATGGAAAATTGAGGAGAGCTGAGCGATATAGTCGCTAAAAATTTCGAAATAAAAATATTTTGCACTTTTTGGGGAGAATTTTCCTGGAAAGCAAAGAGAACATATAACGTTCGCAGGGAGAAGAGAAAATGGAAAGTGTTTGTTATCTTGGTCTTTGCTTGACATCTCCAATGCGAGAATAGCCACCAAGGAGGGAGGAGGCTATAACGTGAAAAGCGAAAATTGAGTAAGCAGAAACTGGTGGGGGGCTTTGCTTGTGATGTTATTGGTAAATACACATCGAAGAGGAGAAGGAGGGTTTTAGGAAGGGGCGGTGCAGAGCCTCTGAGACTCGCGCACATCGGTGCTGCGTCCGTAATTAGGGCATTTCGCAATCACACGCCTATGTACGATGATTACTATAACGCCATGGTGATAATAGGAAACATGGCAAGAGTCGAAAGATGGAAAGAGAAAGAAAAGCGATTTCTAGGAGCTTTAAGAGAAAGCAATGGATGTTCGTAGGAGGCTCACTTTGGGTCAGCTCCATGCATACGTAGAGTGCCGAAAAACTCGTAAAGACTTCTTTTTTCAGCAAAACACGTCCATTTTTTGCTGTTCGTTCAAAGTAAACAACTGTACTCTCAATACTCTGCACTTGTAGAGCCTTTTACTTGATCAACCTCTTCACACAAATAAAATAGGTTTCACACTTCTTTTGCACCTTTTTCTCACAATCAATAGCATCCACCACGCAAATGTTTTCAAGCTGTACTTGAAACTTTTGTTAGCAAATCACTTCAGAGATGTTGGCGGCGTTCTATCCCTAAAACATTTCGTTGAAGAACTTGTTCAAGCCAGTGCTCATGTTCTGTTACACTTCCACTTAATCAGCAAACAGCATGAAGCTTTCTGAACAGGATTTTCTGCTTCAAATGGACAGCAATGAGATTTATGAAATCTAGAAAGGTTTTATAGAAAAGAGCCCATGTATTGATATATATATATATATATATATATATATGCAAATATATATATATAGAGCAACTTTCATTTAGAACTAAAATCTCATAATTTCTAACTAACACTACATTCTTTACATTAGCCTACTTCGTAAACAGACCCACTTTGAGAATTTGCGCCAGGCGAAGCAACGGGCAGGCGGGCAGGAGCAAGAAGCAGCTGCAGGTGATACCTCCGCATGTTTGATCGCATGCGAGGTTCAGGGTAATCAGCCACTATTTTTAACTGTGGTTTCGTGGTGTATAGGTGCACCCTATTACAACTGTTATGTATGCATTATCTTATCCAAACGCATCTAGCTGTATGGAAAAATTTGTGCATGTTTCTCTAGTAAAAACTAACTACTATTACGTACAAGTTCCATTGGATTGTTTTAACCTTCACTGCGCCTATGATGCTATTAGCGTAGCTTTGGATGCAAATCTCCTTGAATTCGCAAAGAGTTTTTCTCCTGAATTTCACACCATTTCTACGGTGCTACGCATGTAACCATGCTGACAGCCAGATAACTCCCAATGACGCGATTAGCATCAATGATACAACTGCGTTTGTGACGGGAGGTGATGGTCCAAAGGTGTCTAATTCATGTCCAGGTTCTATTATTGTGGTAGTCTTCCGTTCTTTCTGATTGCCCACGACATGTCCATTATGAGTAATCGCAAGTTAGAAGAGTAACGATATTGTCACGCTCCGAGGGGCCGGCAAAATGGATT